TTAATTAGTGCTTCGATCCGCACGCTGACTAATTCAGATTGATCGATAATTCGGATTACGTGTGGGCATCTTTATCCGTCAATTTTAGGCAGATGGATCCGAAATTTATTTCGGATTGAGGATAAGGCTTATTCGAATCTTAATTCGGCAAGGTATACCACGTGATCTATTATCGTGACTCTGATTGGCCAATATTGGGGTTAGATTTAATATACATCTTCTATTAGTTCGTGAATATTAATGGGTTCCGGTTAACTTCCCGAAGCCCATTTTTCTGAAATACCATTTCACCGAAGTCGTAATACTGACAATCCATTTTACTAACAGGTCATAATTAGATCCGTGTCATTTCACCGACAATCAATTCACCGAGACATTTATTTAACATCACCGACAGCTCATTACAAGTTTTTTTAAAAATTGCACTAACCTTAACTCTAATTCTAAATTGACCCTAACGACAATGACCGGAATTACTTTTCGGTGAAATAAACTATCAATGAAATAAACTGTCGGTGAACTAAGTTGTCGAAAATGGGTCATGTTTGAAAAAAGGGATATTGGAATTATGGGGTCGGAGAAATAGCATTTCGGGAAGGTGGGCTTCAGGAAAGTGAGCAACAATGTATTACTGTTAACCATTACACTATGTTCTAATTTATTTATCTAGTTGTAAGCATTAAAGATCGTTTCATACTAACAAAAAACGGGATTTAGTGTGCTACCCTAAAAGAAATCACTGCACGGAATTTTAAATACGAGACAACACTAAATTGCACGTAAATATACACGGGACAGTGCACTGAATAGCACGTAAAAAAGCGCGGATTTCATGCAACATTGCACGTATTTACGTGCATTTTTACGTGTTTTCACGTATTTTTTACGTGTTTTCACGTAATTAATTTCCGTACAGTTCCGTATAAATTTCCATGCAGGGATTGAATTACATGCTTCTTCCGTGTCAAATTCCGTGCATGTCCGTGTACTGATTTTTTATAGGGTAATTAATAGGTTCTGCAAGTGCAGGCACAGTATTATCAAAACTAGAGAGCTTTTATAGCTTATGCCGTAACTAGTTACGACATAGGTTTTAAATAGTTAGGCATAGGCTGTAACGCACCTACAGAACCTATAAGCGCAGAAGTATTGAATACTGCATTATATCCCATCCTTCATGTTGTAGCACAGCATGAAATATCCGATGCATGTTTGTAGATCTTAGTTCAAATTTATGATTCCCTGAAAGTTGTTTACCCTACCCGACATCACAAGGGTGACAAATTGCTAAAAATATATACCTGCAGCTAATCAAATGCTAATCCTAACCCTATGTGATGTCGGGTAAGTGACCTGTCGGTTAAATAGCTTTCGGGTAATTGAGAGGTTTTGCCTTGCCGGCACTAATATAATGAACGTACTAAATTCTGTTATACATTTAGAAAGGGTCAAATCCAACTATCAAAAATATTATTGGTATTTTTTTTTATTAGAATTAGCTAATCAAATTGTATAGATATGGTTAGTGAAGTTCATTAAATAGCCTGTCAATTTGAAACATAATTTGACATAATTTGACATCATTTGACACCATACAAAATAGAATTGGTAGAATCTAGACCAAGGTTTCAGAGTGCATCTTTAAAATGTCAATCACAATATCGTATTTATTGGCAATCACTTCCTCAATAAGGTGTTCTTCCGATAGAATATTTTCTTCGCAAAATTTTTTTTCCACAATTGGACATACAAAACAGTTAGAAATATGTTTCATGAAGATAAAACTTTAATTAAAAGATATTAAAAGATATTGAAAAATTTTTACAGGAAGGTGCCAAGCCTGAAAGACATACCCAGCTCAGCAAAGTACAAATCACTTAATGACACGAGTAAAACTTGTTTACGCGCGACAAAGGGTAATCTCACATTAATTATTGAACTTTTGGTTAAGAGTTTAATTGATGTGTGAAGCACATGGTCAACATGTTTTCATTTATGCAGTTCGTGTATGATTTCAATCTTTATGAGCAATCCCTTGTGGTTGTAATACGAAACCAAAACAGTTGAATCTGGAAAAGTGTGACTAATTATGAAGATATTATTGACATCAACTGAACGTTCCAGCCTATATTTAATATGTTTAAAAGAACATTCATAAAATTTTTCTTTTACAATATTATGTTTTATAGAATATAAAATACTTTTTTTTTTTAAAAAAGAAAGAAAGTATTATAGCTAATTAAAATATTTCAATAATCTTTTTCATAAGGTCGTTTACATGATCATCTACTTCATACTTGATAATCATCAGATTTTAAATAAAAATCTGAATCTCATCTAAGTAAATAATAAAGTAAATAAATTTTCTTAGTGGCACTATAAATAACCTAGATAGGCGTCAAATTAGAATTGACGTCAGATCAAATTTAGGGTTAGGGTTAAAATTTATTTTAGGGTGGTAGGTATTAGAACGCAGATATTAGTTTGACGCACGGATTTAAGATTTCTTTTTTTTTTGATAAACTCCAATTTTTGTTTGTCTTCCCAGCCCCACCCTCCACCTTTTCTGCGGCTTCGTTGGCTCTATTATACCATTTTGGGAGTTGTGCAGTTTTCGGCGTCAGAATAGTTGAAAAAAAGACTCGGCTACAAAGTTTTCATTTTTTGGTTTTGTTCTCTAATTTTTTCCCCTTGATGGCACACTCTTTTACTGATCAACTGCATCAGTACAACAGCACTCCATGTCAGTATGGAGTGTGCTTTGAGTGCAGGGAAGTACGAGTCAGTCCTTGCTGGTGCAAATCATGCGAGGTTACTGCTTTTAAAAAAAATTTCATAAATTGGACTAGCGGGAATTCCGTCCTTGATTATATAATTAGAATCACTCAGTCAAACGCTACAGAGAGCATGGCATATTTTGAGTGGATTCCGTTTGACAATTTTATCCTTGTTGAACCTATAACGAGTGGTTCTTTTAGTACTGTGTTGTCGGGGATCTGGTTAGATGGGCCGAGATGGATTTGGGATAATGACAGCGAAAATTGGAATAGGAATGGACCAACTAAGTGCGCACTAAAAAAGATTGGCCATTCTAACGAAATAAGTGATGCCTATTTAAATAATGTAAGTGTTCTTTTTTTTTAAAAAAAAAATTAAGTATGTCTTTTAGTATAGGTGACCCCATTATATTATGATTTTAGAGCAGTGTCATCCAAACTAGAAGAGATCCTTAAATTCTTTAAATTTACTTCTCTTATCTTAGATATTTTATTAAATGAGTGTTGCAGAGTGAAAAGGTGAAATAGTGATGACGCAAAAATTTGGCGGTAACGTGATCTCCGAGCCAAATCGGAACTAGAAAATTTCATCTCGAACTATTGAGATCATGAAAATTCAATATTATTGAAACAGTGCTGAAATTATCCAAATAAATATATTCTACCGTGTTTGTTTAAATATTTTGTTGAACCCTTGGCTCGATTTGGAACATCAGTCAACTCGGAGGCGCCATTACTATTTCACTCGAGTGAAAACCTGTAGCTGCATTTAATGATTTACTATGATCAGTTACGGGTTTTCACTCTGCGACACACAAATAAAATCAAAGATATCTTTTTCCGACTTCCTTTATCAGATGCCTTGTCGAGCACAACTTACGTGACTTCGTGATTAGTACGCAATTATTAATTATTGACTAAACAGTAATATTATTAGTCGTATTTGGAGACAAAATTAATAATTGCATAATCTCGTGAGTTACCATGGACTAAATTATTTCCTTCTGGTGTATATTTTTATCCGTGTCACGCGTGATAAATTAATACAAATTTTTTTATTCTGTATGTACACATGTTACATGCAGGGTTGTTAGTTGTAATTTCCTGTGGTAAGTTACCGTGGCAAATTACCGGTAAGTTACCATAAATTGTTAATGGCAACCATTATCGGAATTTGTCGTAATGGTAGACATAAAGCACGGCGACTTTCGGAACAAATTACAAGTTACCACCATCGGTAACTTGCGGTGATCTACTGGTAACTTACCATTTTGGTAATTTACCATAAATTACCGTAATTTTACAACCTTTGGCGAGTCATTAATTCTTATCCGGCAAACTCTTATGATCATAGATTTATTTCTTTTTGTTATTTTTTGTTGTGTTATGGCGTAATCATGTTTACTCAATTCAAAATTCAATACGACTTGAGAATCATGATCATGAATTGCCGGATAACACAAATATTGAATCATGCGTTGATAAATGGGATGCGAACTATACCTATACCATAGTATAATACCAGTATTATACACATTGGTATAGGTATAATACCAATAATAGAAATGAGTTAGCCAATTAAATTGCTTTATCTGTAATCCTGAAGGTTTTCCCTTAGAATAATTCCGACAATTCCAAACCATATTAAGCTGAGAGCATAATGGTGACCTAGTATTATACTACCATTTCTATTATACCGGTATAACCGCATCCCTACATGATATTAATCGATGCATGATCAATATTATATACATAACAGAATATTAGAAATGGCTAAAAAAGGGATTTGCATTATTTATTTTTCCTTAAAGCCATTCAAAGTTGATTAGTTGTTTAAACACATATATGCCGTAGAATATTTGGCTAAATCTAATTAGTCAACTTATCCTGTGTTATATGATTGGTTTGACATCTGAGGGGGAAAATGACGTTAAACAACTATTCAACCTTGAAAAGTCTCCTTTAGTCGACATTAAATCAGGCTAACCCTAACTCTAACCGGGTTAGCTGATCGCGATTATGTCTAATCATAAAAATTTAGTATCATTGTCGTGATTACATAAAGAAAATTAAAATATATTAATGTATATTAATATTTATATTTATCTATTATATTTTTTTATTTTTATATAGATTTCAAATTATTATCAATGTATACAAAGTGGATCAGTAGCCGACTTTTTTGGGATAACATGTGACCAAGAAGGTTGCTATATGTTTGTTATGAGGTTTTACGAAAATGGAAACTTGTATCAATATCTTGACGATGCTATGGGATACCTTTGTTGGAGAGATATCGTTGATATGCTCTGGGGAATTGCTAATGGGCTTGAACGAATTCATGAACATGGACTTTATCATGGTAATCTTCATGGTGGAAATTTATTAGTAGAAAATGAACCAGAGTCAATTGATACAAGAATTGCCGATGTCGGATTACACGGCCCTCCTTCCAGATCAAAAAACTCTATAAATTATGGTGTTTTGCCATTTATTGCTCCCGAGGTATTAAAAGGTAAAGAATATACTCAAGCCTCTGACATATATAGCTTTGGAATTATTATGTGGATGTTATCAAGTTGTATACGTCCTTTCTGTCAAGTCCCTCATGATTCTGAGCTTGCAATGAAAATTTGTAATGGTTATCGTCCAGAAATCGTTGATGGTACTCCGGAAGTATTTTCAACATTAATGAAAAGATGTTGGGATAATGATCCACTTAAACGCCCGAAAGCTAGCGAATTAAGCGACATTTTAGGGTGTTGGGTTACTGCTATCTGTGATGATCCGGATCCATCTCAAATTTCCGAACAATTTGATGAAGCTGAAGAGAAAAAATTTTTAGAATTAGAGAAAAAACAATTTAAACGACCAGAAGTTCACCCTCTAGCAATATATAACAGCCAGTTTATTCGGTTTCCAGTTTCTTAGAGACAACAACCTATTTTGTTGATAATTTGGCAAGATCATAAGTTAGCATGATTATAATTGACTGACATGTTACATTGGGCAATTAGCATGATTGTAAATATTGGCATGATTGTAAATTAACAATTTGACATT